TTTGTGGGAGTGTTTGGGGGGTTCTGGGTTTGGAGCTTGGATTCTGTTTATTGCATTTATGATTCAATGCAACAGAAGAAACAAATTTAAAAGTTAACAGATCATTTTAATACTTGGTTTATTTACATAATGACATTAATTGCTGGATGTCTGGCCCATGAGCTGCTGGCTGTCAATAACTGTGCCCCCCTGAGCAGTTTAGTTGAATATCCTGCTTTAGAGGGTGGAATACAGTTTATTCCATTTCCAAAACCTAAACTGAGTCTGGACAAAGTATTGAGGTTTGGTTCTTGCTGTGAGTACTCAAAATCAGCTGATTTACAAGCTAAACCATAAGGTGGAGGCGATTTATGAGTTTTGCAGGTCACCTGCAGCTTCTGGGACTCGTCAGAGTGGTTGGAGCAACCTTGAAGGAGACTCCTAACATGGAGTTGGGGTTCTGTGCTCCTTCTTTTGTGTTTAGCGACGTCTCCCAGGTTCCTACTAGTTTGTCTTTTGTTTCTTGCCTCTTGTGTTCCTCTGTATGCCCTACATCCTGTTTTTTCCCACCTCCCATCCAAGCTGGATGTAGCTCTCTCCTTGGGATTTCAGGGGCCATCTCTTGAGTGGGGGGGGGGTCCTGTAGGGTTTCTGGGGTTTTGTCCTGTCTCCTGTTTCCTCATGTTTTGATTCACCCCTCTGTGTTCCTCCTCTGTGTTCAATGTAATCACCACAAGTGCCTGTCATTTCACCCTCATTAGTGTCAGCATATATTCAGCTCCTTTGTGTCTTGTGGGTGATCTCCAGATTGTTCTTCACTTGCTGTTATGGTCTGTTTCCTTCTGTGTCCTCCTGAATGTAAGTTAGCTGCCCTGTCAGCATTTTGTTTTGTTTATTTAGTAAATGCACTATTATTTTACTGGAGTCTCCCGTCACCTTCCTGCACGTGGGTTCAAACGTTACAGCATATCATAATACATCTGGCCCCGGGGACTTCCCATTCCTTGATCACAGAATTTATCTCAGCTACAGAGAACTCTCTCTTCAAATCTATGGCCAGATCAAGATCCAATGAGGGAAGTTTAACATCCTTAAAGAAATCCTCTAAGTCCAATGGGCTAGCTGATGACTCAGTCATATACAATGATTGGTAGAATTTACATTTATATGTATTAATTCAAGCATTATCGCAACACTGAGTACCTCATTCGTTATTTATAGTAGGAATAGTTTGGTTGGCTGACTGTCGCCGTAGCCTGATGTAAGTAAATGCCCAGCTTTTTCACTGTGCTCGTACTAACTATGTGTGGTTCTAGATATTAAGGTTGTTTTCACACCTGATAGTGTGGTCAACTCGATTCGATTGGGGACCAAAATTCAGAACATTTGTTTACATTTTCAGCTGGTGTGGTTCACATTCACACAGCACAGAGTCAGTCGAGGCAAACGGTTCCCCCCCCTTGCCTGTGGTGGAGCTGCGTCAAAAACTGCTGAAGGAAACAACACAAAAACCTCTGAAGAAGACTGAGGTTTTAGTTTTTGGCCCTGAGCACCTTAAGAATAAATGTTAAAGTTTTTCTCCCTCCTTAGATGACATTAATCTGTCCTCCAGCTCTAATGTTAAAAATCTTGGTGTTATTTTTGATCAGGACATGTCTTTTATCCCTCACATTAAAAACGTTACTAGAACTGCCTTCTTCCACCTGCGTAATATCGCTGGAGTTAGTGGGAGAGATCATCTCTCTCCAGTTTTAGTTTCGCTCCATTGGCTCCCTGTCAAGTCCAGAATTTAATTAAACATCTTACTAACCTACAAAGCCCTCAACAACTTAGCTCCATCTTATATTACAGATCTTATTAGGGGGAGAGGTGGAGCAGAGGTTAGAGAAGGTGGGTCTGTGATCGGAAGATCGCTGGAACAAGCCCCGGTATAGACATCAAAAACGTGGGTGGGGTAGGTGAAGCACCCACACCTGCCCCCACCCTCATTCGCCCCACTCTGGGCCCATGAGCAAGGCCCTTAACCCCCATCTGCTCCTAAACAGGTCTCTCTTGAAAATGAGTTCTCGTGGCTCAATGAGACTACCTGGATAAATAAAGGGTAAATGAAAAAAAATATATATATATATTATTGTTCCGTATTTTCCTAACATAATACTTCACTCTCAGACTGCAGGCTTACTTGTGGTTCCTAGAGTTTCCAAAAGCAGAATGGGAGGAAGATCTTTCAGTTATCAGGCTCCTCTCTTGTGGAACCAACTTCCAGTTTCTGTCCGTGAGGCTGAAACATTATCCAGTTTTAAGACTGGGATTAAGACTTTCCTTTTTGATAAATCCTATAGTTAGGGTTGGGTTGTTATGCTGCTATAGGTTTAGACTACTAGAGGACGCACTGGCCTCCTTTCCTTAAATGAATTGTTAAATTTGAATATTTAAAAGATAGGTTGAAAATTAGAATCCCTTTCATGATCTTGTCATCCATTTTCTTAATTCACTTCTCCTTTCCAGGTCATAGGGAGCTGGTGCCCATGTCCAGCATTCACTGTCTAAGAAGCAGGGACACCCTGGACATGTCCTGGACCCTGTCTCTGAGCATCTCTAGGTGTTTGATTGTGGATATTCATCTAAAGCAGCAGAAACAGGGACACAATGGGCAAGGCACTCAAGTAGAGGTCCAACTTTATGAAGGCTGCTGGTTGAAATCTGGTTTCCCTGGCCATGCTGCCAAAAGGAACAGCATGAACTGTTGCCACAGACAGGCTCAAAGTTTTAATGAATAATAAATATCTCTTTTGGACAAAAATCACAAAGTTCCTGATCAGAAACAAACTTTATTTGTTCCAAAAATACACCTTTAATCAGAAAATAAATTACTTCAAACTGATCACCAAATACTTCTACGGTACTACACCGTACTACAGAGTATCACGCTGTACTACAGAGTACTTCAGAGTACTACAGGAACAAGGAATTATATTTTTCCCAGTAGAAGTACAACTATCAAGTCCCTGTTGATGGGTGGGGCCTCCTGGGACAGGGTGTGGCCTGATAATAAGTAAAATGTTTAAAGTCAGAGTGATATTTAGAAAACTAGTTGAACATCTGGTGGACAGTGGCTCCATAGTCAATTGATAGCAACAACATTAGCTGCTCATTTGGCATCAGGTCAGCTGACAGGAAGTGATGTCAAAGCTCAAACATCCAGGCCCTGCTGTGTGAGGAAGTCTTCGAGCGCACTCAGTCGCTCCACCAGCATGATATCCAGGTCGCTGTCATCATCCAAACCGTTGGTGCGGAAGTGTCGTCGGGCAGCTGCTCGTTTCCTGGGCCCGAGGACAACAGAAAGTCCCGCCCCTCAACAGAGACAACACACAGAATTGTCGCTGATACAGTCTGTTTTTGACACACAACACTGGGCAATAATCACTAACCAATAGAAGCAGAAAGAGCAGACTGCAAACTGATTTTCCCATCATACCTTGTAGCTTTTTACGCTTCCTGGGTTGAGTAAAGTCAGGAAAGAGGAGGAGCCTGCGCCTTTTCTGTTGGCCAATCAGGAGAAGCGCGCCATCCTTTTCTCGAGGCTCCTCAAAAATCGTCTCCAAACTCCTGTTGAACAGAAGCAAAGCATGCTGGGAGATGAAGAAGCTGGATGGTTGTTCTCATCAGGTTTCCTAATGAGGTTTAGAAAACTGATCTGTGTGTTTATGGGCCTACAAAGCAGTATAAGTGTCTTACGGAGTAAAATGTTAGCATCATTAGCTGGTTCACTTTAATGTGGATTTGTTGCCATAGTAATTGATGCAGAAAACCTAACCTGTTGTTGGGGGGGGACTCGTAGTTTTTGTTGGTGTAGATCTCCTCCAGACTGAACATTTTCTTCTTTAACCTGAAGGGAACAAGTAATGGTTCAACTTGGAATCTTCCAATAGATCAAATATTAAATCTGCTTACTTTCAAGCCCCGCCCACTGCAACATTCAAGCCCCACCAACTGCACCCTTCAAACACAGAGAACGTTTTCTCAAATTGCACCCATTACGATCGTGAGCTTCGCCCAATCAGCAATGGCCATCAGCTTCCATGTCAGAAGAATGTTATGGGGCGGGCCTTGTTCATCCCCAGATACAATGGAGATACAATGAAAGAGACATCCCTTCGTTATGCAGAAACCGGACTTGTAGCTCAGCATAACTGGGAATAAAAAGGGAAATCGGTCTTTTGTGTGCCAACCTTCAGATTTCCAACAGAAATCCAGCACACGGTACTTTAGAAAACAGTAGATAGAACCAGACCCTTTTTTTCCCCATAAAAGTCAAATTGATCCCCCCTGATGCCATTCAACGTTTCACTGTATGTATGGTGCCAGTAGTTATAGATGTGAGGATTTATCAGTCTTTGGTACATGAACTGACATAAGCAGCCACTAGAGAGCACAGGCCAGTGTTATCTGTTATGCTGGTCCCAAGCCCAAGAACATTGGAAGGCGAGGGTTGTGTCAGGAAGGGCATCTGATGTAAAACACTTTTACCAAAACTGCAATGAGAGTTCATCAAAGCAAAACCATACTGGACCGGTTGAGGCCCGGGTTAACAACGACCACCCTGGTGCTGTTGACAAACACGGTACTGGTGAAAATTGTGCTACTGTTAGTCAAAGACCACAAGGAGGGAAACGTGTCAGGAGACAGAGGGAGAAAAGTCAAGAATGTAGGACTGTAGGACAATGACAGACAAAGGTAGAGAGCTGACTGGCATGATGCAGAGAAGGAAGGTAGATGTTTTATGTGTCCAAGAGACCAAGTGGAAGGGCAGCAAGGCTTGCAGCATTGGAGCAGGGTTTAAACCATTTTAACATGGTGTGTATAGAAATAGAAATGGAGTAGGGGTGGTCCAGAAGGAGGAGTTGGCAAAGAATGTAGTAGAGGTGAAAAGAGTGTCAGATAGGGTGATATGTCTGAATGTAGAAGTAGAAGGTTTGTTTGGAATAGGGATACTGATTCTATTAAATATTTGGGAGTATCACTACCTCGGGACTTCTCGAGACTCTTTGATATAAACTATGGCCCTTTAAATTCAAAAATAAAGTCTGATATACATAGATGGAACGTTATTCCATTTTTAAGTTTAAAATCCCGGATAGAATCCATCAGGATGAATATACTTCCACGGATGCTGTACTTATTTCAGTGTTTACCAGTCAGAATCCCACCCAAACAGTTCTTAGATTGGGACAGATTAATAGCAAGATATTTGTGGCAGGGAAAAAAAGTCCAGAATTAAATTCAAGACACTACAATTAAGAAAAGAAAAGGGTGGAATGGGCCTTCTCTGCTTACAGGATTACTACCATGCAGCCCAACTGAGACCTTTAGTCTGTCTGTGTTCACCAACTTACACAGCAGCATGAAAGGGAATAGAAGGCACAACGATAAAAGGAGTCCCAATAACAGCCCTACTCAGTGATCATAAATTACAAGAAGAACAACAGATCCCAGAAGACCACATAACAGGTAGCTTTCTGAAGTCTTGGCAGGATGTAATTAAAAATTGCAGATTAGGAGATACAGCTAAAATTTTGAGGTGGTGTGCCTATGACTCAGACTTCACACCAAATAGAACAGATTTAAGTTATGGATCTCAAAAGGATTAACTATCTATTATTCATTTGTCCACAAAGGGACATTTCTGAGTTTTGAAACCTTACAGAAGGATCATGGACTGGGAAAAGATGATTTCTTCAGGTACCTACAGGTGAGACATTATTTTGATAAAATCTTAAAGGGACGTTGGAAAAAGGCAAATCAAAGTTCATGGAAGTATTTCTATCATTAATTAAGTCCAGAGCAGACAACAAAATTGTCTCTAAACTGTACAATGCCATTCAAATATCTAAACAAGAGAATACAGAATACATAAAGAAGAAATGGGGAAAATGAAATGAAAGTAATGATCACACAGGAGAATTGGGAGAAAATATGTCAACTGCAATGGGTCTCGACCAGATCAAACACATGGAGAGAAATCTGCTGGAAAAATATTGCAAGGTTTTTTGTCACACCCATTCAGAAACAACACCAAGGCAAGGGGGATGCTTGTTGGAGACTTTGTGGGTCTAAGGGAGCCAACCACTTTCACATTTTGGGAAGGGATCCACATCCATCCATCCATCCATCCATCCATTTTCTTTACCTGTTTGTTCCATTTTGGGTCACGGGGGTCGCTGGTGCCCATGTCCAGCAATCACTGTGCGAGGGGCGGGGTACACCCTGGACGGGTCGCAAGTCCATCACAGGGCCACATAGAGACAAACGAGACAAACAAACATTCACTCTCTCACTCACACCTAGGGACAATTTAGAGTTACCAATCAGCCTAACATGCATGTTTTTTGGACTGTGGGAGGAAACCGGAGTACCCGGAGAAAACCCACGCATGCACGGAGAGAACATGCAAACTCCACCCAGAAAGGCCCCCGGACCGGGGTTTGAACCAAGGACCTGCTCGCTGAGAGGCAGCAGCTCTACCAGTTGCGCCACCGTGCTGCCTAAGGGATCCACAAACACATTGAAAATGTATTTAATGTAAACATTCCATTCAACTGTGAAACTTTGTACTTGGGTAACTTAATGATTGAAACATGGACCAACAACGACAAAACACTGTTGACTATACTGTTGGCAGCCAGTAAAAAAATCCATCACAAGGAAATGGTTAAAGGCAGAACCACCCACAATTGATGAATGGATGGAAATTGTCTACCAGATTTATGTTATGAAAAATATATATTTTTCCCTCCAAGTCAAAAAATAAACATTTTACCAGATCTGGACCAAATGGACTGAGTATGTAAAACCAACGAGATCTGACTTTACTTGATTGTACTTGTGAATTATGTGATCCTGTCCTTCGTTCTTACTGTTTTTATGGTTTGATGTGGTGCACCACTTTTCAGTTTTTTATTTGTTAAAAACGTTTGACACATCCAATAAACTTCATTCCACTTCACGATTGTGTCCCACTTGTTGTTGATTCTTCACAAAAAAATAAAAATTTTATATCTTTATGTTTGAAGCCTGAAATGTAGCAAAAGGTTGAAAAGTTCAAGGGGGCCGAATACTTTCACAAGGCACTGTAAACTGGTAGTAGGTTGTTAGAAATACAGCTGCCAGGAAAAAGACAAAGAGGAGATATATGGATGCAGTTAGAGAGGACATGGAGTTAGGTGGAGTGAGGACAGAGGATGCAGAGGACAGAGATGGAGGAGGATGATTGTGGAGACCCTGAAGAAGGAAAAGCCGAAAGCAGAAGAAAGTACATGAACTGACATCACGCTTTATTGCAGCTACTTCTTTTTTTTGGTCTCTCACACTAAATGTTTCCACTTTTACAGACAGGAACATTTTCAGAAAAAAAGCAGCAGTAACTTGAATCCTCAGTGGAGAACTTCAGGTTTCCTCACCTTTTGGCCTTTGGCAGTCCCATCGGGGTGAGCGGTGTCTCTCTGGGCGGCCCTCGCCGTATTCGGATCTGTGAGACTCGTTTACCGAGCTGGGACATGTCAAAGGATATATCCTACTGATCAACATTGTTTGTAAATTGAAGAACTTTTCTTAGTTACTCAGAAAATTTAATGTTAAAATTAAAGGAGAAGATCAAACAAACTGATCTCAGAAAAACAACCGAGAACAGGAACCTTTCAAACAAGAGCAAACGTCTGCACCTCTACAAACTCAGAGACAGCAGCTGATTGGTCAGCAGAGCCGTCAGCTGAAAGCCCACTAGCCGAGCACACGGGGAGGAGGGCTCGCCGTCGGGGCAGGCTCCGAGCGCTAATATCTGTACGTGGTCTATGCAGTGGCCGGGCACAAACTGCTGGGCTGAAAAAAAAAAGCTCAATGTTCTTATTTTAGGTAGAACACAGAAGAACACAAACACATGACATGAACGTATGACAAGTTCCACACATGTTCTCCAGATACGAGGAACACATTCTACACATGCTCTCCAGATATGAGGAACACATTCTACACATGTTCTCCAGACCTGAAGAACACATTCTGCACATGTTCTCCAGACCTGAAGAACATATTCCACGTGTGGTTTCAGATCTGAGGAGCAAAATCCACACATGGTCTCCAGACCTGAGGAACTCATTCCACACGTGTTGTTCTCCAGATCTGAAGAACTCGTTCCATGCGTGACTCTCAGATCTGAGGAACACGTTCCATTTTGGTACTTTTTTTGTGTACCCATATTGCATTCTTTCAGTATTTCTTGTTGGTTTGTTATTTGATTTTTTTTAGTGAGTCAAATCAGTTCTTCTCAGCCTGAGCATTTCCTTGTACTGTTAACCCTGTGTTAACCTGCATATGACAAATAAACACAACTTGAACTTGATGCGTGTTCTGCAGGAAATACTAAAATAAACTAGTACTTACTACTAATACTTGTGTACATAAGTTTGTTCCATCTCATGTACCAAATGAAATGGTAATGATAAAGTGTACTTGAACTTGAACTACTGTATCCCTAATTCGCGGTTTTTCACTTATCGCAGGAGGGGGGGGGGGGGGCAGGGTACGGCACACCCTCGATAAACGAGGGACTAATGTATTCTGATCTTAGGAACACGTTCCACAAGTGTTCTCCAGAACTGAAGAACTCGTTCCCCGCGTGTTCTGAAGATCTGAGGAACATGTTCCACGTGTGTTTCCCAGATTTTGGGAACTCGTTCCACACGTGAACACCTTCCAATCGTGTTCTTCAGATCTCAGGAACAAGTTCCACGTTTGTGCTGCCGTTCTGAGGAACGTGTTGAAACTGCAGCAGGTTCTAACAGTACACGAGTGTATATTTGTTGTTTACATTCGGGTGTTTGTTACCTCACTGTCAGCCTCCGTGTGTAACTGTGAAAACAAAAACAACACACAAGACTGATTTAATAACAATGACTGAAACAGGAACAGATCAATAAAATATTGATCAGTTATAAATTTACTGATGTGAAATTGATTTTTTTATATAACAAGGAAATCCTTGTTGATAACCATCCATCCATCTATCCATTTTCTTCCGCTTATCCGGGGTCGGGTCGCGGGGGTAGCAGCCTAAGTAGGGAGGCCCAGACTTCCCTCTCCCCAGCCACTTGGGCCAGCTCTTCCGGGGGAATCCCGAGGCGTTCCCAGGCTAGCCGAGAAACATAGTCCCTCCAGCGTGTCCTGGGTCTTCCTCTGGGCCTCCTTCCGGTGGGACGTGTCCGGAACACCTCACCAGGGAGGCGTCCAGAAGGCATCGTAAACAGATGCCCAAGCCACCTCAACTGGCTCCTCTCGACGTGGAGAAGCAGCGGCTCTACTTCGAGTCCCTCCCGGATGATCGAGCTTCTCACCCTGTCTCTAAGGGAGAGCCCAGACACCCTGCGGAGAAAACTCATTTCGGCCACTTGTATCCGAGATCTCATTCTTTCGGTCACAACCCAAAGCTCGTGACCATAGATGAGGGTGGGAACGTAGATCGATCAGTAAATTGAGAGCTTCGCCTTTTGACTCAGCTCTCTCTTCACCACGACAGACCTGTACAGCGCCCGCTTCACTGCAGACGCTGCACCTATCCGCCTATCGATCTCACGCTCCATTTTTCCCTCATTCGTGAACAAGACCCCAAGATACTTGAACTCCTCCACTTGGGGTAGGACCTCCTCCCTGACCCGGAGAGGGCACTCTACCCTTTTCCGGCTCAAGACCATGGCCTCGGATTTGGAGGAACTGATCTTCATCCCGGCCGCATCGCATTCGGCTGCGAACTGCTCCAGCGAAAGCTGTAGATCACGATCTGATGAAGCCAATAAGACCACATCATCTGCAAAAAGCAGAGACGCAATCCTAAGGCCACCAAAACGGATCCCCTCAACACCATGGCTGCGCCTAGAAATTCTGTCCATAAAAGTTATGAACAGAATCGGTGACAAAGGGCAACCTTGGCGGAGTCCAACTCTCACCGGGAACAAGCCCGACTTACTGCCGGCGATGCAGACCAGGCTCTGACACCGGTCATACAGGGACCTAACAGCCCGTATCAAAGGGCCCGGTACCCCATACTCCCAGAATACCCCCCACAGGGCCCCCCGAGGGACGCGGTCGAACGCCTTCTCCAAGTCCACAAAGCACATGTAGACTGGTTGGGCAAACTCCCACGCACCCTCCAGGACCCTGCTGAGAGTGTAGAGCTGGTCCAGTGTTCCACGGCCAGGACGAAAACAGCACTGTTCCTCCTGAATCCGAGGTTCGACTATCCGACGGACCCTCCTCTCCAGAACCCCCGAATAGACCTTACCAGGGAGGCTTAAGAGCGTGATTCCCCTGTAGTTGGAACACACTCTACGGTCCCCCTTTTTGAATAGGGGGACCACCACCCCGGTCTGCCAATCCAGGGGAACTTCCCCCAATGTCCACGCAATATTGCAGAGTCGCGTAAGCCAACACAACCCTACAACATCCAGAGCCTTAAGGAACTCCGGGCGAATCTCATCCACCCCTGGGGCCCTGCCACCGAGGAGCTTTTTAACCACCTCGGTGACCTCAGCACCAGAGATTGGAGGGCCCGACCCAGAGTCCCCAGGCTCTGCTTCCTCAGTGGAAGACGTGCCGGTGGGATTGAGGAGGTCTTCAAAGTATTCCGCCCACCGACCCACAACATCCCGAGTTGAGGTCAGTAGCACACCACTCCCACTATAAACAGTGTTGGTGGTGTACTGCTTTCCCCCCCGAGACGCCGGATGGTGGACCAGAATCGTCTCGAAGCCGTGCGGAAGTCGTTCTCCATGGCCTCTCCGAACTCCTCCCATGCCCGAGTTTTTGCCTCAGCAACCACCCGAGCCGCATGTCACTTGGACTGCCGGTACCCATCAGCTGCTTCCGGGGTCCCACAGGCCAAAAAGGCCTGATAGGACTCCTTCTTCAACCTGACAGCATCCCTCACCGACGGTGTCCACCATCGGGTTCGAGGGTTGCCGCTGCGACAGGCACCGACAACCTTGCGGCCGCAGCTCTGGTAAGCCGCCTCGACAATAGAGGCACGAAACATGGTCCACTCAGACTCAATGTCCCCCACCTCCCTCGGAACATGTTCAAAGTTCTCCCGGAGGTGGGAGTTGAAACTCCGTCTCACAGGAGACTCTGCCAGATGTTCCCAGCAAACCCTCACAATACGTTTGGGTCTGCCAGGTCTGACCGGCATCCTCCCCCACCATCGAAGCCAACTCACCACCAGGTAGTGATCAGTTGAAAGCTCCGCCCCTCTCTTCACCCGAGTGTCCAAGACATGTGGCCGCAGATCAGATGAGACGATGACAAAGTCGATCATCGAACTGCGGCCTAGGGTGTCCTGGTGCCAAGAGCACATATGGACACCCTTATGCTTGAACAAGGTGTTCGCTATTGACAATCCATGACGAGCACAGAAGTCCAACAACAGAACACCACTCTGGTTCAGATCAGGGGGGGCGTTCCTCCCAACCACACCCCTCCAGGTCTCATTATCATTGCCCACATGAGCATTGAAGTCCCCCAGCAGAACAAGGGAGTCCCCAGAAGGTGCACTTTCCAGTACCCCCTCCAAGGATTCCAGAAAGGGTGGATAATCTGAACTGCCGTTTGGTGCATAAGCACAAACGACAGTCAGAACCCGTCCCCCCACACGTAGGTGGAGGGAGGCCACCCTCTCATTCACCGGGGTGAACCCCAATACACAGGCACCAAGTTGGGGGGCAATAAGTACGCCCACGCCTGCTCGGCGCCTCCCACCAGGGGCAACTCCAGAGTGGAACAGTGTCCAGCCCCTCTCAAGGAAACTGGTTCCAGAGCCCGAGCCATGCGTAGAGGTGAGTCCGACTATTTCTAGCCGGGACCTCTCAGCCTCACACACCAGTTCAGGCTCCTTCCCCACCAGTGAGGTGACATTCCACTTCCCAATAGCCAGCTTCTGTAGCCGAGGATCAGACCGCCAGGGTCCCGGCCCTCGGCCACCACCCATCCCACATTGCACCCGACCCCTTTGGTCCCTCCCACAGGTGGTGAGCCCATGGGAAGGGGGACCCACGTCTCCTCTTCGGGCTGTTGATAACCCTTTAACTTTAATAGTTTTTTTAGAGGAACAATCAACCACTTTATTCAACTGCTTAAAAAATATACATTTAATATTCTTTTACAGAGTAAATAGTTAATCTTTTAGAGCTATCTCAGCCTGGAATACAAAAATAAAACTATTTTTTATATTGGAACTATTTATGGTCCTTTATTCCCAATTCTGACAAATTACAAACCTTTGAGAGGGTTTGTAGAATTGATCAGGAATTAATGTGTTTACTGAGAGGACCAAAAAATAAAAAAAAACAAATAAAAACACAAACAAAAATAAATGCTTGGCTTATTTTTTTCCCATGAGACCTTCCAAGGGTTAACTTCCCAGTAATATATTGATACCTTTCTGAATTTATTGACAACTTAAGAATAACTTTTGAGCACTGATTGATGTGTTATTGAATGCGATCAGTCATTTTGAATATTCTGGACATACAGTAGTCCCTCTCTACTTCGCAGTTCGTTTTTTGTGGATTCGCTCTCGACTCGGACTCGGTTTTTCAAAATAAGATTGGCCATGACACACAATTGGCTGACTGATGGATAAGCCGCACAATCGGTATGGAATTTTTATTTAAAATAAATTATTTAAAAATGATTTAGCACCTAGGCAGCACGATGGCACAACTGGTAACGCTGCTGCCTCTCAGCGAGCAGGTCCCTGGTTCAAACCCCGGTCCAGGTGCCTTCTGGGTGGAGTTTGCATGTTCTCTCCGTGCATGCGTGGGTTTTCTCCGGGTGCTCCGGTTTCCTCCCACAGACCAAAAACATGCATGTTAGGATGATTGGTAGCTCTAAATTGTCCCTAGGTGTGAGTGAGAGAGTGAATGTTTGTTTGTCTCGTTTGTCTCTATGTGGCTCTGTGATGGACTTGCGACCCGTCCAGGGTGTACCCCGCCCCTCGCACAGTGATTGCTGGACATGGGCACCAGTGACCCAAAATGGAATAAACGGGTAAAGATAATGGATGGATGGATGTAGCACCTGTGTGTAGCCCTCAGCTGTGGTAAAAGTTTCCTCCTGCAGCTGATCTCTGTGAATAGCGGAGAAGTGGGCGTGGCCGAGAGTGCAGCAGAGGTTTCAGGGTACAGATCCCCGGCGATAAACGAGGGACTACTGTACAGACTGTATGAATATTTTGTGCTTGCTCAGGATGGGAGACTGTGATGAAGTGAAGATTCAACACAATCTGCTGCTTCCTTAGATAGAGAACTTTTACTAATTGTCTTTTATAATGTATGTGAATGTTTTTTATGTTTTCCTGAGACGACTTCTGTTATGACTTGGAGCTACAGAAATAAATTGAAACTAATATAATAAATACCAGTGATCGCTGCTCAGGCTGGGTGGGGCCGTCCAGTCCTTCAGGGGACGCAGGGGATTCCAACAAGCTCCGCTCCTCACCCAGTTTAATATCGTCTCCATGGCAACTGCAGACAGGTGCAGCACAGGGGCGGGGCTGGCATGAAAGGGGGTGTGGCTTAGCCACAGATGTAAAACACTGTGATTGGTGGAAAACTGAGTGATGATGTCAGAGGAATGCCATTGGCCAGAGACAACAGGAAAAAGTCCTGATTGGTTGTAGGTATGAGCAATCCCGGCTGTCTGAAGGAGCAGCAAAGCATTCTGGGAGGTGGAGCTGGAAATAAACAGAGATGTTTCTACTCTCAGACAACTTATCCCTTCAAATCCATCAGAACAGGAAATGTGTTTTTCACCTGACGCTGATGACATCAATCCTCCCACCCAACTCACCTGTAACCATTTTTCCTGATGAGCACACTGATGGTCTTCTCTGATTGGCTGGCTCCTCCCTCCTCTGTTCTTCTGCGTTTATTTTGGCTAAGGTCATGCAGAATGAGAGACTCCTCTTCCTCAACTCCTTCTCCTCTGAAGGAGATTGCCATCTGCCCTACAAACCTCTCCCCCTCTGTGGAGTTTTCAGGAAAGTTAAACCCTCTGTAGTTCTTCCTCTTCCTCTTCCTCCGCTCTGACTGGCTGAAACTTAAAGGTGAGCCATTGCCATCTAAGGAAGAGGAGGCTCTGACAGGCAGAGGGACAGAGGTGCAGGTAAGAGCAGGTGAACCTGAGGAAGTGACACAAACAGGTGAGATCATTTATTTGATAAGAACATTGGAAGAATAATTTTTTTATTTATAATTTGCTACAGAACTCAGACAGATGTTTACCAGTTCTGATTTCAAGCTCCATGGCAACACCAGGACTAGCTCATTGGTTCTGGTTCTGTTCTAGTTCTGGTTCAGTTAACCAGAAACCAGTCTGACTGTTTTATCTAAAAACAAGAGGAACAAACTAACCTCCTCCTTCTCCTTTCTGCTTCCTCCTTTCCTGCTTCTTCCTCCTCCTCCAGCTCCTTCTCTCTAGTGAGTCCAGACGACGACCGAGGGAGGCCAGAGCTCCCCGCAGGAGGCGACGCACCTCCTGCCGGTGAGCAGACAGAAGGCGAGGTAGGAGGGAGGCGCAGGAGCAGCAGGGAGCAGCAGGTGGAGGAGGGGGAGGAGGAAAGAAAACTCCTGCAGAAACAAACAACTCTCATTCATCGAACACCAAAGGAAAACAACCCTCATTAATCTAATATCTATAATGTCTATTTTAACAGCTGAGACTTCTCGTTTACATGACCACCTGGTTCAGAGGCAGCAATAAGTGGACATTAAAAGACAACACAAACGGCATGCTTTACACCATTTATAAAAGCATTGTGGACGATGCAAACGGTGCCAGGAGTTGTAAAAGTGCGTGCAGTGATCTTAGTGAATGTAACAAAGGAGAGTGTAATGAATGAGTCGAGCTTTAAAGGTCCAGTTCAGATGGTTCCAGTCATCTGCAGCAGAGAACTGATGGCCCTAAGGTGTAAATGAACATTTGAAAAAACAGAATTACTACGGAAAGTATTCTTTTTTTAACTTTATTAACAACATAAAACAGAACAGCAGAACAATGTACAGTGCACACACCACTTCCGGTTTGGCTTGATGTAATTCAGTTTTTTTTCTAATGTTGTTCATTTTCACCTTTAGGGCCACCGTAGTGAGGAGGTTGATGAGGTTACTAAAAGACAAACTGTGCTTTGGTTTGTGGATAGTAAGAGGTGACTGTAGGTAACAGAGTTTTTGCAACGAGGGTTGTGTAAAGAAACAAGAACCAGTGAATTTGTCCGTGAAAATCAAGAGATGGTCTGTGTATCAGAGAGTACAGATCATAGTGGTTGAATTAAATGGTGCTCCAGTTACAAACGGTTGATCGATAGCATCCAGTTGGTGTAGGAGAGTTTTTGAGGCAGACCTGTAAACCACGTCACCATAATCCAGGATTGGAAGCACCTGTCATTTTAACCAGGAGCTGTTTGGCTGAGTGTGAAGGAGGATTTATTGTGAAAGCATATTGTGAAGGACATTTATGTGGGAATCATAAGAGAGTTTGCTGTCAAGATAGATACCAAGATACAAGGAAGACATTTTAAAGGGACACAACTTGCTGAAGGTTTCTGTTAAAATCATATGTTTAGTTTAGTCTGTGTTTAAAACCAGATGTAGTTTAGTGAAGGCCTGGTGAATTGAAGTGAAGCTAGCCTGCAAAAAAAACAGCAGTAGTCAGGGAGGGACTGGATATATAGAAAATGGTATTATCAGCATATATAAGTACATGATAATCATCTACTGCCAGGGGTATATTATAAATATTGAAAAAGAGTAGGTGCAAGGATGCTTCCTTGTGGGACACCAGATTGGGGCAGGGGATTAGACAGAAGACCCTCCAACCTCAATGACTGTAGACGATCAGAGAAATAACTAATAAGCCAAGTTAAACAGCTTTCGGAGATTCCTATGTCCCTTAGCCGGTCTATAAGTAATTTATGGTTCTTTGATCGCGGCACAGTGGCTCAGTTGGTAGAGCTGTTGTGTTGCCTCTCAGCGAGCAGGTTGCCAGAACAAATCCCAGCCCAGTGGGGGGCCTTTCTGTGTGGAGTTTGCATGTTCTCTCCGTGCATGCGTGGGTTTTCTCCAGGTGCTCCAGTTTTCTCCCACAGACCAAAAACATGCATGTTAGGCTGATTGGTGACTCTAAATTGTCTCTAGGTGTGAGTGAGAGAGTGAATGGTTGTTTGTCTCGTTTGTCTCTATGTGTCCCTGTGATGGACTTGCGACCTGTCCAGGGTGTACCCCGCCCCTTGCACAGTGATTGCTGGACATGGGCACCAGCGACCCCCGTGACCCAAAATGGAATAAACGGGTAAAGATAATGGATGGATGGATGGAGATTAAAAATACAGGAGACGGGCGTTGAAATGATTTGAGCTGTTAATTTTAGGAAATGGAGATCTAATGCATCCAGACCAGCAGATTTATGGATGCCTCCTGTATGGACTGAAATGAGAAATGGGGGGATTCTGAGGCAGATGGTAGATTGAAAAGAGAAAAAATAGGAGCACCAGAACTGTCCTCATATGGACCGCTGGCCTCAACGAAGTGTCTGTTGAAGTGGTTTACCAGTTTGGATGTGTCTGCAATAACAAGACCAGTGGGCAGGTGTGAGGACATATTTTTATTTTCCATTGGTCTGACTGAATTCCAAAACTTTCGAGGATCAGGACCATTGGCTGCCAGTTGCTGCTTGAAATAGTTTGATTTTGCTTCTCTAATAGATTGAGTACTCTTATTTGTTAAAGCCCTGTATGATTTCCAGTCAGTTACTTTGTTGGAGGTTTTAGCTCCGTGCTGCAGAGTGTTTGTTGTGGATGAACTCAGACCGGTCGGGACTGAACCACACTAAGACCATTTTTTACACTGATCTTTTTGAGAGGGGCGTGTTTGTTCAAACAGCACTGAATGAGTTTTTGAAATATGCCCAATCATCTTGGACCTCAGGTATCATCCCAGTTCTGTGCCAGTCCACAGGTCGGGTTGTACTGCACATTGAAGTAAAAACAGAAAAACTTTGAAAATGATCAAAGAAGGTGTCTTTGTGTAGTGCCCTTATGAACGCAGGCTCTGTCACAATGATCACTAAGGCTTTGGCAGAACGCACTGGATGTATACCTCTCTGGCCTGTTGGTGAACATGTCAAATCCATGGTCTTAGACTTGTACCTGGTGGGGTTCTAACTGCACAATCTTGGATAGGTTTAACACATCTACATGTAATTTTATAGCTGATGGATGGTTGAGCATATCCCAGTTCAAGTCACCTAACAAGGCAAACTCAGAGGAGATGGGGGGGGGGGGGGGGGGGGGGGGGTTTTATTCTCGAAACACACCCAAAAACCGGGGGGGGGGGAGCGGGAGCTGTGCACGCACCAAGCGG